TTGATCCGTAATTATATCTTATGCATATCAAAAACAAAATATATATTTTAGTTATTGAGGATTAAATTATATGAATGTTATACATGAAGAACTCTGTACCAACTTTACGTTACTGTTTCACGAGTTACAAATGGGAAATGATTGAAAATATTAATTTGTGATGATAAAAATAACTCAGAACTTTACATTGTTGTTTCAGAGTTACAAATGTGAAATGATTGAAAATATTAATTTGTGATGATAAAAACAACTGAAAGACGAAGAACGTTGTTTTGAATTTATATGAATTGCAAATGCTCTTTTAATTTTTTTTTATTTTTTTTTGTAGCTCCTGTGCATTTGCACGGGCAACTGTACTAGTAATCTTATTAAACAAGATTGCATTGTAGAGATTTGATTCATAACATGATTTNTGTCAATGCTTGCACAGTGAATTAGTGTTCATAGCGTTTGTCCAAATAATGAGACTATACATCTACTGCAATCATGATATCGGCCAAATAATTGTGCTGCCACGTACGGAGAGAAGAGTATGTCCACAAATAATTGTTTTTCAAAACTAGTACGTGCGATGCACGGGTAAGAGTTATTCATTAATATTTATATTTAAAAATTCTCATTAAATAATATTTATAATTAAAAATATAGAATCAATATGTAATACAATCTACCTATATTAATTTATTGAAAATATTATATAAATTTAAATTGTGCAACATTACATAAAAATGTATATTTAAAATTAGTACACAACTCAGAAATTACATTATATTCATTTCAAACCATGTGTCATTTCAAAATATTTATTCAGAAATTCGATTTGAAAATAACGTGATTCCATAAATAATTATTTTGGTAAAATTTTATTATATATTTAAAAACCTATGTGAATAATAAGTATAAATATAAAACTTATATTGTTTCATTAATTAAAATAAATTTATTTTTTATAAAATTCCCAAATCAAAAATTTGAGTAGTTGAGTAAAAATAATCAACAATAAGATTTGCCAAAAAAATCAACACCCTTTATCATGCTAAAGAAAATGAACAATGCATTTAACACAAAAATTATTTGAAATGTCGTAACAAAAAATTAATTAAATCGAGACCCGCTAATTATACGAAAAACAATTGACCAGAACTTTTTCTATAAAAAACATCGATACACGCACATTATATCAAAATATCCATTCATATTATTTTGTCGGAGTTACGGTAATTTTATTATGTTAATTTCATATGAAAAATTGAAACACACGCCTAAAAACCAATATATAGGCCTGCACATAGAAAAAAAGTACACAGTGTATTGATTAATTTTTCAACAAATTTCCTAACAAAAAACAGTTATCAAATAACCTAAATAAATTTATTCACTTTATACTATATATTGATTAATTTATTTCCTAGAGAAACAACCATCAATACCAAAAATAAATTAGTCCACTTTATACCATATATTGTTTAATTCACATGATTTGAGTAATTAAGGTATCTTAAAATATGGCTTAATTACTTCCTTAAATAATGAGCCGCAATTTCCATAAGTGATTATTTCATATATACCAAAAATTGTTAAATTAATTTCCCAAAATAGTAAATAATTTTTTTTATGGAAATAATTACTATTTAAAAAAGAATCAAACCTTTTTATATAGATATAGATTACTATTTAAAAAGCCTCTTTATGGGATCAATTGATATAATAAATTCCTATGGCACAATTTTACTGATAACAAATTGGACTGAATTAGGGGAAAGCATATTTTTTGCCTTTGCACCTATCAATAATATTCATTTATTGTATATTTATAATGACTAGTATGACACCCGTGTACTACACGGGTTGTTTGATAAAAAAAAATAAAACATAAAATTATAGGCGGGGTTCTGACCTTATGTGCAGGGCTGGGAGGAGATTGTCGCCTATTCGGGTTGTTTTTGCGAGGCTGGGCCTTGATGCCATTCGAACCCTTCCTCCCTTTTCCTCTTTTTGAGTTAGAGGGAGGCCGACCGTGTCCGGAATTGGCTAGTGGTGATAGGCAGTTTCAGATGGTGATGGATTTGGCTAGTGGTGTTAGCCGGTTGGGGGTCGGTTGTGGTTTCTAGCGGTTGGAGAGCGGGTTGGTTTCGTTTTGGACAGTTTTGAGGCTCGGGTCTTCGTCTTTGCTAGGCATTAGGCAGTGGCGGGTGGAGTTCCTGTGCTTTGGATCTTTCCTCGAAGTCGGCTTTGTCTGCTGTTCAATCTCGGGCGTCTCTACTGAAGGAGGGTTGTGCTTTAATTAGTAATAGTTTTGGTTTTTTGTCGTTCATGTCTTGTGATGTTTGCGTATGTGTTTGTGTTTATTCTTGTGTTTTAGGTTTGGGCCGTTGGCCCCTGTGAGCCCGAGTGTCACCTTCTTATCCTGTTGGGATCCGACGCTCGGGTATTACCCTGTTGGGGCCTTTGTGTGTTGTTTTCTAGTTGTGTTTTTGTGTTGCCGAGTATTACACCGTTGGGGTTGGTTATAGGCTGGATTTGATCCCATCCTCCCAGTCTTTTTTAGCTGTTGGCTGCTTGCATTCAGCTGTTGGCTGCTTGTATTTAGCTTATGGTTGTACCTTTGCACTTTTGTGCGATTTTATATAATATNAAAAGAAAAAACACATGTTGTCATATAAAAGTGCAAAAATAGAAAATACCAAAGTCGATATTATTTCAACTTTTGAAAAATTTCTTTGTGCACATTAAGAATCCTAATTATTATCAACGAAATAAAAACCATCTCTACCAAGTCCACACGATCCAATTACTACAAAACAAAGCATATTTCTACATATATTAAAGAACTGATAGAATAATTACTTTGGGACGAAGCTTGAGTAATGACAAGGGGATCAAAATCTTCAACTCCTTTCTTCAACCCCTGATAGGGATTATAACACCAACTCAGTCTAACCGGACAAATACCCGTGATGAGATTGAGGCCAAGCAAGCCTAATGGCCGTCACCAAATGGTCTACTGGTCTACCCGCTCAAGTGTCGACCGGACCAACGGGTTGATGGCATCGACCCTTACACCGTAGAGCTCGACCAGACCAAAGGGTTGATCCCTGACCCCCGCCTCGACCGGTTGGGACTCGACCTAAAGGTGCGCGGACCGAAAGATATGGCATCGACCCTTAAGGACATCAACCTTTACGCCTCGATGGGATCACCCTTGGTCGACAGATGATAGGGATATTGATATCGACCCGAATAAGCCGGACATAGACCCGTAAAACCAAAGCCAAAAGGGGACTGCGGATCGGACCAAAGAAGGCAAGACCAAGAGGGGCCGACCGGTCTTAATGGTCGACCCTAGACCTAGGCTCGACCCGTGAGTGGTCGACCCATGCAGACGTAGCAATGCCTAGATGAATAACCGTAGTAAGTGGGTGTACGGTTGACCCGCGAAGGGGCCTCGACCCGGTAGCCCTATGATCGACCCATTAGACGTCGACCCATGAGAGGCCGACCAATGCAGACGACCCACAGGACAGGGGTCGAACTCCAGCCTCTACTCGACCCTTGGTAGCTACGCCTAGATGAAGAACCGTACAGTTAGAGTACTATATAAAGGGTTAACTTCGCACTGTAAGCGTAAGACTTATTCATTATACTTACCGCAACATTACTTATGCAGATATTTTCTCTCTAATCCGAGACACTAACTTGGGCGTCGGAGGGTCTTGCGCTGGAGTAATTCCGGTGCTCTTGCAGGTACCGGCGAGCGTTTGAGGTTGGACCAGACCGGATCAATCCCATTAACGTCACCACTGAGAAGGACCCTCTGAAAAACCGGAGTTGTCGTCTTGGACCATATCAAATTGGCGCCGTCTGTGGGGACCCTAACTCAACCGGCATTGATCTGGCTGTATCTCATACATAGCAATCTAAAAACAAGTTAAGAGGGAGAAAACGGAAGAAGATGGAGGAGGAAAGAGAGCGGGAGCAGAGGGAAGAGGATAACTCTTGGTTACGCAAGCGTCCTGTAGGAGCAGGACCGCCGCCGTGGTGGGTGTTGTGTGGAAACACGCCGGCGACCCCAGTGGCCCAGAAACTTCTTGCCCCAGGTGATCTAGCCTTAGAGCTTCTGATCGACCCGTGGGGCCTTGAAAACTTTTTGCCCCAGGTGACCTAGCTGTATAGCTTCCGATCGACCTGCGCGATGTCACCCCACGCGATGTTTTCACCCCGCGCAATGTCGTCGCCCCACGCGAAGTGGTCGAACCATGCAAGGTGGTCGACCGGCGCAACGTGGACGACCCAGGGAAGATGGCTGGCCCACGAGATGTGGTCGCCCCGCAAGGTGTTACCCCGTGCGATGTCGCCCCACGCGATGTTTTCACCCCGCGCAATGTCGTCGCCCCACGCGAAGTGGTCGACCCACGTGATGTTGTCGCCTTACGCGATGCCTTCGCCCCGCACGAAGTCGCTCCACGCGATGTCGCCCCGCGCGACGTTGTCGACCCATGCAAGGTGGTTGACCCATGAGATGTCGTCGCCCCGCACGATGTCACCCCGCGGGACGTGGTCGACACACGCAAGGTTATTGGCCCACGAGATGTCGTCGCCTCGCGTGATGCCTTCACTTCAAGCGACGTGGTCGACCCACGCAAGGTGGTCGGCCCACATGATGTCGTCGCCCTGCGCGATGTCACCCCGCGCGATGTCGCCCTACGCAACGTGGTCGACCCAAGCAAGATGGTCGGCCCACGTGATGTTGTCCCCCCGCGCAATGTCGTCGCCCCGTNTCGCCCCGCACGATGTCGCCCCGCGCAAAGTGGTCGACCCACGTGATGTTGTCGGCCCACATGATGTCGTCACCCCGCGCGATGTCGCTCTATGCGACGTGGTCGACCCACGCAAGGTGGTCGGCCTACATGATGTTGTCCCCCTGCGCAATGGCGTCGCCCCGCGCAAAGTGGTCGCCCCACGTGATGTTGTCGCCCCGCGCGATACCTTCGCCCCGTGCGATGTCACCCCAAGAGACGTGGTCGACCCACGCAAGGTGGTTGGTCCACGTGATGCCTTCACCCCGCGTGATGCCTTCTCCCCACACGAGGTCGGCCCACGCGATGTCGCCCCACGCGAAGTGGTCAAACCACGCAAGGTGGTCGGCCCCCGCAAGATGTCACCGACCCACACAAGGTGGTCGACCGGCGCAACATGGACGACCCACGAAAGATGGCTGGCCCACGAGATGTGGTCGCCCCGCAATGTCTTCACCCCGTGTGGCATGGTCGACCTACGCAAGGTGGTCGACCCACGAGATGTCATCGACCCGCAAGGTGTTACCCCGTGCGATGTCGCCCCACGCGATGTTTTCACCCCGCGCAATGTCATCGCCCCACGCGAAGTGGTCGAACCACGCAAGGTGGTTGGCCCCCGTACGATGCCCTCGCCCCACGCGATGTCATTGACCCTCTTAAACACGGTTGACCTTATCAACATGGTCGAAACTATGGTCGATGGATGACCCGCGTGTAAAGTTGACATGATCGACCCACACGGCGCACAGTCCGCGCGTGGATGGCCGAAACGGTCGGCCTACATGGTAGGCACTCGACCCACACAACCAACACCCGACGCGGGCACATGCTCGACCCGCATGGTCGTCGCTCGACCCACGCAACCAACACCCGACGCAGGCACATGATCAACCCACAAGGCTCACGCCCGACCAACAAGGTCGCACGGTCAACACCCTCGAGGATTGACCCAATCGACCACACACGGTCGACACCCTCGACAACTAGCACATGAGCAAAAATCAAGAAACGATACGTCGATCAAAAGCTCCAAGGTTAGATTGAGTAGCGTGTTTATCTAAAGAGTCGCTATGTCGATCAGAAGCTCCAAGGCTAGATCGAGTAGCGTGTCTATCGGAAGAGTCGCTACGTCGATCCGAATCACCAAGGCTAGATCGTGTAGCCTATCTATCTGAAGAGTCTCTACCTCGATCAGAAGCTCTAAGGCTAGATCGAGTAATGTATCAATCTGAAGAATCGTTACCTCGAGCAGTAGCGTGTCTATGCATAGAACCAGTCTGGATGATCCTTTTAGGCATGTTGTATATATTCTTCAGGAGGTACTTATCCAGGAGGATATCGTGTGCTCTTAGGCGTTCTGAAAAGTACTTGTTTGACGATTATATGCGATTGTCTTGGCGAGTCGCATCGTGGATGATATGTGTGCTTTGACGATTAGAGTCGTTGGTTCGACGATTATATGCATTTGATTATTATCTACGTTAAAAGCTCCAAACGTTGAGTTGAAAGTTGAGGCTAGATCAATCATCAGCTCAAGGCGAGATTGATCCGAAGTACGGAGAAAAATAGATCTAAGCTCGAGGCTAGATCGATCCTACGCTCGAGGCTAAAACGGTCCAAAGCTCAAGGCTAGATCGACAAGCTCGAGGCTTGTTCGACCCGATGATTGGGGTTGGATCGATCCTTAACTCAAAGATAAATCGATCCGTAGCTCAAGGCTAGATATCTTTCATGGACGGGAGTAAATTGGTCCGTAGGTAAAGGCTCGATCGATTTTATAGCCATTGGTAGATCGATTCGTAGCTGAAGGCTAGATCGATTTCACGGCTGGAAGAAGATCGAATCGTAGCTAAAGGCTAGATCGATTTCATAGCTCAAGGATAGATCCCTACGAGGCTCGAGCGTCTAGCACGAAGATAGATCCTTACAAGGCACTACTCGATGACCGACTGAGCTTCCGCCAGCTGCCTTCTGAGGATCGACGCCTCAAGGGTCGACAACCTCAAGGGTCGACACCTCAGGGGTCGACAACCAAGGGTCAACACCTCAGGGGTCGACGACCTCAAGGGTAGATAACCTCAAGGGTCGATGCCTCAAGGGTCGACGACCTCAAGGGTAGATAACCTCGAGGGTCGACGCCTCAAGGGTCGACGATCTCAAGGGTAGATAACCTCAAGGGTCGACCCCTCAAGGGTCGACGACCTCAAGGGTAGATAACCTCAAGGGTCTACACCCCAAGGGTCGACACCTTAGGGGTCGACGACCTCAAGGGTAGATAACCTCAAGGGTCGACACTCCGAGGGTCAACGACCTCAAGGGTAGATAACCTCAAGGGTCAACACCTTGACGGTCGAACACCACACAGGTCGACACCACACGGGTCAAACACCACGCAGGTCGATAACGCGAAGGTCGACACGACGAAAACCAATACGTCACAAGTCGACGCACCACGGCACGACGTATCGCACCAAAAAAAAAAAATGAAGCTTCGACACCCCGAGCGTATGGGTCGTGCACCGACACTTCGAATGCGAAGATCGAACTCTGACACCGCGAGTGCCGAAGTCGAACTCGGGCTCCTCGAACACGAGGTTCGAGCTCGGACACCTTGAGCACGAGGGTCGAGTTCCGACACCTCGAGCGCGGGGGTCAAGCTCCAACACCTCAAGCACTAAGGGTGAGATCCGGCGCGCAAGCAAAATCCACACACGTAATTCGTACAAGAGAAAAGACCGAGTATTTACGATTCTACAGGAATAATATCCGTAAACTCGTAAATAGGGGGAGTAGTTGATAGGGATTATAACACTGACTCGGTCTAACTAGACAAAGACCCGTGATGAGATGGAGGCCAAGCAAGTCTAATGGCCATCACCAAATGGTCTACTGGTCTACCCGCTCAAGTGTCGACTGGACCAACGGGTTGATAGCATCGACCCTTACGCCGTAGAGCTCGACCAGACCAAGGGGTCGATCCCTGACCCCCATCTCGACCGGTTGGGACTCGACCAAAAGGCGTGCGGACCCAAAGATATGGCACCGACCCTTAGGGACATCGACCCTTACGCCTCGATGGGATCACGCTTGGTCGACAGATGATAGGGATATTAATATCGACCCGAATAAGCCGGACATAAACCCGTAAAACCAAAGCCAAAAGGGGCCTGCGGATCGGACCAAAGAAGGCAACACCAAAAGGGGTCGACCCTAGACCGAGGCTCGACCCGTGAGTGGTCGACCTGTGCAGACGTAGCAACGCCCAGATGAATAACCGTAGTAAGTGGGTGTATGGTTGACCCGCGAAGGGGCCTCGACCCGGTAGCCCTATGATCGACCCATTAGACGTCGACCCATGAGAGGCCGACCACTGCAGACGACCCACAGGACATGGGTCGAACTCCAGCCCCTACTCGACCCTTGGTAGCTACGCCTAGATGAAGAACCGTACAGTTAGAGTACTATATAAAGGGTTAACTTCGCACCGTTAGCGTAAGACTTATTCATTATACTTACCGCAACATTAATTATGCAGATATTTTCTCTCTAATCCGAGACACTAACTTTGGCGTCGGAGGGTTGCACCGGAGTAATTCTGGCGCTCTTGCAGGTACCGACGAGCGTTCGAGGTTGGACCAGACCGGATCAATCCCATTCACGTCACCACTGAGAAGAACCCTCTGAAAAACCGGAGTTGTCGTCTTGGACCATATCAACCCCTTAACAGCATCACGAACTGCACTTACAGATACGACTATCAGATCCATGACCAACAAAAACTTATCCTGCCCCATTTTCAGTTCCCTACACAAAAGTGCAAAGAACAAATCACGACCTCAAACAAACAAATAGTACATAGATACGTGGGCAGACCCAAAAACTGAAAATCATAAACCCATCATTTAACCCCTAAATACAGTTACCGTAATTGAAAGTAATAAAGAGCGAAAAATAATTCATGAAAAGGGCATCGATCAATCAACTTGCAGATGAAGTGAAAGCCTCGAATCATGGAGTAGAAGCCGACCACAAATGAATTTTCTGCAAATTCTGTAAGAATCTAATATATTATTAAGTTAAAATAAAAGATGTTTCACCAAACAAAAGCTAAAAATTCCGTAAAATGAATTAATCAAACAAAAGAGATGACATTAACTTTTGAAACTCGTTAAAAATAATTTATGAAAAGGGCATCAATCAATCACCTTCCAGATGAAGTGAAAGCCTCGAATCATGGAGTAGAAGCCGACTGCCGGCCCGATGAATGCTACTCAGATTTTTCTCCCTCCCACAAAAATGAATTTCCTGCAAATTTTGTAAGAATCTAATATATTATTAAGTTAAAATAAAAGAAATTTTCACCAAACAAAAACTAAAAATTCCGTAAAACGAATTAATCAAACAAAAGCGATGAATTAACTTTTGAAAACCCATAAAAAAACGAATTCAGTTAAAAGAGGCAAACCGAGATATTGTTGCGGACCATCAACTAAGAGAATCAAATACTAATTTTTTAAGGTTAATGCACATAAATGAATTGATTTCATAAAAAACGGTGAGGATGACCAGAATTTGGAGTCCTGACCTTGGGGGTTGGCCGAATTTAATCTTCGAGAATTGACGGGGAGGAGTTTGTTGTGTCGGAGGTCGCGGCTCTCGCATCGATGAAGAACGTAGCGAAATGCGATACTTGGTGTGAATTGCAGAATCCCGTGAACCATCGAGTCTTTGAACGCAAGTTGCGCCCGAAGAAAGAATCATAGTACAAATGAATAGGACAAACACAATCCAATTATTTAAATATTAGGATCAATCCGATAAGTTGCATTGTTGGGAAAGAAAACACGACAAAGTTAAGCAAAATAATATAATTGTATTAATTAATTTTTATCCGAACTAAAAGCCGAATCATGTAATATTGTCAAGTAAGCTTCCAAAACGTACAAGCTAGGCTCAACACGTTTTCAAATTATATTAAAGGCGGATTTTAAAGTAGGGATACAAATATTTTTTACATATCTATTTTTTGTTATATTTTTTTTTTTTTCAAACACTCGTAGTACACGTCGTACTAATATTATATTAATTAACAATAACATTCACAGTTAAATAAATAAATATAACAATGAACAATCTGGACATTGAGACTTGACACTGGATAAGATGATGGGTAGGTAGAAGAGAACTAATGATAAACATCTGTACAATAACTTAAAAAGGGTTTAACCTTACCTACGTCATCAGATGATAAAATACGTATCACATTAACATATAATTACTCCATTAAGTACTGACTTCTTAATATTTTAAAAATAATGAGGTGTTAAAATAATGGGAATTTTAGGTGGTGCTGCTCATTTTCGAACCTGAAAAATACCCAAACATTTCTGATCTCCCCTCAAATTCCTCATCTTACTTGTTATAATCTCCAAAATTACATAAATAAATAAACAACGAGGGAACGAAAACCTCCTTTGCTGTTCATCATCACCATTTTTCTCTCTCCCAATTCCAGTTTTTGCCTTCTCAAATCTCAGATTGGAGCTGTTCGTTTTTTGGGGCTTTGGGTATTACCCATTTTTTCTTGTGGACAAAATCATAGCTATGCAGCCTCAAATTAACGTTTGTAGTTTTCTGAGCTAGAAAGGGTTGAGGCCCTTCTGTTGCGCGAGATTGAGGGCTTCGTCGCAATTCGATTGAGGTCATGATTAAGCTCGGGTTGACATCACGATCGCGGAGAGTGGTCCAGGACAGCTCGGTCGCGGTGGAGAAATCGAAGAATTTTATGGGGAAGAATAAAAAAATCGACGCGGATGATAACTGTGGCTACTGTTGCTGGGCGAGCTTGCCGCCGGAGTTATTGAGGGAAGTTGTGTTGAGATTAGAGGAATCGGAATCTAAATGGCCTGCGAGGAAACACGTTGTGGCGTGTGCAGGTGTCTGTAAGAGCTGGAGGGAGGTGATGAAGGAGGTGGTTCAAACTCCAGAGGTTTCTGGGAAGATTACGTTCCCCGTATCTATTAAGCAGG